TAAATTTGCATTCTTAGTTCAACCGATTTGCATTTTTATAACTAAAGCGTTGCATATATAGTTATAATCCCAGAATGACTCATTGAATGAAACTGCAGTTATAACGTGCATTCTTGCCAAGATATTTCATGCATATTTATTACGTGCATATTTATTGATATACGTATGCAATTTTAGTTACTCTTTCATGCACAATTAGTTATTCTTTCATGCAAAGTTTGTTTTATATATATCGATCTAATGTATAAGCAGACCTGTGCAACAGACAATTTTCTTGCATGCTCATCAATTGACAGTTGCATATTTAGTTATTTCTACATGCATATGTATTTCTAAATCGCAGCATATTTAATATTTATGTCGGAAAACAGAGATTCTTCCACAAACCAAAATTGCAGATAAGCACGAACAACATATTTTTCAATATTATGTGCTCGACTCTTATTAAATAACTCGATTTCATCAATGTATAATTCATCAGCATTGATTATTTTAAATTTAGATGAATCAATTTGGAAAAAAATGTCACTATACCTCCTTCCATTAATGTCGCAACTGGAGTTGCTTCGATCTCCATTTGATGTTGCGGTCGCCATCGCCGTCGCCGATTTTGTGTGATAAATCCGATGAACTTTATGAACCGCAGTTGAGTTTGTCTATCGAATAGATTAAAAAGTTAAACCTAATTAGTCGATGAAATCGAAATCGAGTATGAGAAGGAAATCCTACAGAATCGTGACTGAGAAGGAAAGTTTAGATAGTTTTCTGATTTTGCTGCGAGCGGAGATGGAGATGTGTTTTCATTCTGTTTGATTTGTTATATTTATATGTTTGATTCTGAGCGTAGATCTGAAAGGCAGATCTGACGGCTCAGATGATGGTCTCACGTGCACATTTTAAGGGGTGGACTCATTGGATCCACCCCCTATATATATATTCTAATCCAAATATATATATAGGGTCGCGCTCACATGAGAATGGTGCTTAATGCGAGAAATAAGAATAAATTTTAGCCATCGGATCGGATGATCTAATGGCTAATAAAAAAGTCAATTTATACCTTCATTAAGGGTATTGTGGTATTTTTCTATACTACATTCAAATAGGTGGGACCCATTCCATATTAATACACCTATCAACTACCTGCCACCTACCCTCAACCAGACCACCCCACCCACCATCCCCCACGCGTTTATCTCTCTCTCACATACACACACACACGTTACACACACAATAGATACACCAACACACGCAGACAAATATGGACACTGCCGCACAGCCCATCGCCGCCCCGACCTCCCTCCGGCGAAGCCGCACATTCCATCTTCTCATCTCCGACGGCCCTCATCTCTGCGCAGACCACACATACGCCGCCGCACATCCCATCTCATCATCTCCGACCTCTCTCCGGCGTACCACCCATCGCCGCCGCCGCCTCGCCGCAGACCCGCCACAAACTGCTGCTTGTCACGTCTCCATCGCGACGCCATCGTCGTCGTCCAGTCCTCAAGCACTCAGTCCGACATCCACCACAAATCTGCTGCCCCGACCTCCGCCACAAATCTGTTGCCCCGACCTCCGCCACAAATCTGCTGCCCCGACCTCCGCGGCGTCACCTTGACATCCCCCGCCTCTTGCAGCTCAAACCTCACCTTCTGAGATTCGAAGTGAGGTGGTGATACGGGAGATTGAAATTCTCAAAAGTGAATTGTGAAATGGGGTCACTTATTTGAGAATTTGATTATGCCTAAGGACCTATATGCAATTTTAATAACTTTATTTGTATTTCAATTTACCCCATGGGTCAAATGTATAATTATTGAAAGTTAATAAAAAAAGTATTTCTTATACAAATTGTTATTCATACATCTAATAATAAATTAAATATTAAATAAATAATATAAATATCAAAATAATATTTAATTAATTTATAATAATTAGTCAAGTATATAAGAAAAATAATAAATAAAAAGATATTTTATTTATGTAGGTTAATTCAATGTACAATTCTATATTAAAACTAGTTTTCAAATGCACATAATTTATATAGAAATGTATAAATTAGTGCACTTTATATAGTAGAATGTTGCACTTTATAAAAAAACATATTGCACTTTATAAAACAACACATTGCACTTTATCGCCTCAATCCACAATTAATATTAATTGTTGCCACCAAAATATTACTCAATATAAATCTATAAAATGTATCTACATAATATTTCAATATCCATCACATAAAAAAACATAAGAATGCTAACGTATCAAGATTTCATTATTGTACCTTATATATCTATATGTTGCACTTCATACAGTAGTACATTGCACCTCATAACACAACATGTTGCACTTTATAACATAACATGCTACGTCTACTAAAATTGCAGTAATTATGCTAATTGATCAAATAATATTATTTGGTTAAAGGTCGGGTTTAGTTTTTTTAAATAAACAAAATAACCAAGAATGTCGAATTATATGAAAAATATTACTGATTCTTTTTTCCTATTTTTCTATGAAAATTAATAATAATTTTTATATCTATACTTTTACGTATTGCTATTGCACGTTAGGGTTATATGGGTTGCACGTAAATGCCTATTAGGTTGCACAAAATCGGACGAGATCAACGAATAGATATTCGGTATGGAAATTTATATTTGAGTAAATTATTATTATTATTTTTCATATATCGGTTATTTCGGTATAATTTCAATTTTTTTATTCAAATAATCAAAATAAAAAAAATACTATATTAAAAATAATAATTTCTATTTTTTAGTTAAATATCCAAAGTAATCGAACGACCGAACTACATAAAAAATACTATTAGTTTTAATTATTGTATTTTTATGTATACTCATTTCATTAAAACTATATTTGTGAATTTTTAAATGTGTAGGAATCGAGAAAACTATGATTTTGTAAAAAAATGGCTTTTCTTTTTAATGTGTAGATTCCCACATAATAATGTGCAATTTAGGCAACTTTAATGTGCATTAATTATACTTTTATTATATTACAAATTGGCCTCATATGTTAGATTGAAATAAAAGAAACTTGAATAAATTGCAATTAAGCCCCTATAATATATCAAATTTTCAAAGAATAACCCCACAATTCCAAAAAGCAATTTCAACACCATCGTCGTCCACCTTCGTCGGAGCTCAGCCCCAGAAGTTCCAGTCACCGGCGTATGGTCACCGCCGTCGTCTTCATCGCCCAATACGTGAAGCTGCCACAACCCGCCGCTAGGAACTCGACGTCTCCATCTGCTCAGAAAAAAAAAGAAAAAAAAAACCGAAACTGGCCATTCACGCACAATCGTCGCCTTTGTTTGGGTTACGGGAAAGAAGGCAATGGCGACGCGGCCGCGGGAGCGAATTCCGGCGACGACATTCATTCCGAACGTCAGAAAAAGCTGGTTCGCCGGCGGCAATGACTTGGATGGCGGATGTCGGGTCGCTGAGGAAGGTTTGACGACGACGTGGACCGACGTTCTTCTGCTGCCGTGGGGAGGCGTGGTTTAACGGTGAACCAGCCGCCGTGAATTTTCAGATCGGTGATGGAGAGAGGGAGAGAAAGATGAGCGACGGAGAGAGAAGAGAGATACAGATAGATACAGAGAGAGAGAGAAAAGAGTGAGAGAGAGAGAGAGAGAGTTGGACCAATAATTGGTGTGTGTGTGGCCCAATGTCATGTGTGGTAAATGTGTAATGTCCATATTGTCCTTAATTATTGGTCAAATGTGTATATTTGACCACAATGTAAGTTATTTTACCATATTGCCATTAATGATTGACTAAATTTTGACTTGATCAAAACCATTGATATGATAAATCCAATGATCTAGACTCATTCTCATTTCTCGCATTAAGAGTCATTCTCATATGATCCTTTCTATATTAAAATTATTTTTTAAATTGCATACCCAATCAATTAATCTTGATTTTTTTTTTCAATTACTATGTTTATTTTTTATTAATATGCATAAAATAAAAATAAATCATTCATCTTTAGATATATAATTTATAATCTTAATATACTATCATTTGGTGTAGACATATGAATCATAAAAAATTTTTATTTCATAAAATTAAATATTATATTTAAAGAAAATAATGAAATTACTTTGGATCAATCGAGTGACTGAATTAGGGTACTGCCCACGTTGATTGAATTACTTTTAGGTAATATTTAAAATAGTCAAAAAACTTGACATAACTTGGTTGGTCCCAGAACTAAGTTATGTATCATTTTGACCAGACCTAATCAATTATTGAACCTAAATATAAATTTTAATATTGAAAATACTTTATTATGTAGTCCAAACTTCAAGTAATCGTATTAACAATACTTTTACGACAACATGATTAATGATTTATGAATATTTATATATCATTTTATTATTATTTATGTGAACAAAATAATTATTTTATTATCATTTTTATTAATGTACGGTAAATACAAGGTTTTCAGAATCGGACCGTCATCGAAACGATCAAGTTATTTTATTAAATTATTTGTGGTTGTTCAGATTTTAATACATAATACTTTAATATATATATATATATATATATATATATATATATATATAGTACTTTTTGTAATAAATTTAAAGAAAAAGTGTTACTTAAATATCTAAACAATTTATAAATTCAAATGTTTAAACTAATTGATAAACAATTTATAAACCTCTATTTTATTTAAATATGTAACAAAATTTGTTTAGAAAATCGTATCGATCCTACCAGTCCAACATTCTGATGTTGACAGATTCGATAGCAAATATTTTATTCAAGCGCAATAGACTAATTATAAATCGGTTCTTGGTCCATCCGGCCGGACTGTGTCCAACCCGGTTTAATTTAAAAATAATGGGTAAATCATGATTAATGTTATTTATTTATTTGATTTATAATACAATCAAATATTGTTTTCCCGTGCATCGCACAAGCCACACACTAGTAAATTATCAAGAGACAAAACACATTTCATAATCACTCCATCAAAATAACCGGAGACGGTAAGTCTTTCACGATTGGGTATTCATCGGGTAGGGTCAACAACGGGCCTTCGCCCGACAATCCTCTAATTGCCAAAGCTAAGGAATATCTCAATGCACGAGCAATAGGCACAGCAACTGCATTTCCTACTTGAATGTACCTTTATATGTGATAGTCAACTACCATTGGAAACTTAGCACTTGATTGCAAGGTGGAGGTAACAATCTAATCAAGACAAAGCTGTAAAAATATGTAAAAACAATTACATAGCCTATTCTCACAAATTGCAATTATAAAAACTACATAGCTGAGAGAAAAGGAGTTGATTTCAGGCGCAGAGAAATTTTGTTAACAAGTGTAATTTTCATTTTTGAATGGCTGTAATACTAGGTCAAAACATACAAACCTAGCAGCGATTAAAGATTAGCAGAAAATATGGTTAGAACAAAAATGGAAAAAAATCCAGAGAACAACTGGATTTCAAGAAAGACGAGCTAGCCAAGGCATTAATCTTCTAGGAACCTAGGGGAAAAAATAGTTGATTTAACTAGCAACAGAAAAAAGTAAATCAAACAGGTTAACTTCAGCTTCAACAATTACTCAATGCTAGATTCAATTTGATATCAAAAGTAGGAAATCCCAATTTATAAAACCCCATTAGCGCACGCAAATCGACTCTCAATCACCTTCACAACACAGACTGCTATTTAACGAAGTGCCAAACTGAACTGAACTCATCTAGCCCGACAAGTTCAGCAACCACACGAACCCACTAAATTTCAGTACCTGATAGGAAGTGATTCTAGCGAGCGAGATACTGAGCAAGGAGACGATGGGAGTTTTAAGGGGTGCGGAATTTAAGAGGGAGCGGATGTGGTCGACAAAAAGTCTAGGAGCACCATATGCGCCATCCTGAACAACCTAGCGAGCATCCTTGTCATGTCCAACGATCCATCCGTCATTTAATAGGTTTGTTGAAAATGGGAACGCAAAAAAAAAAAAAAAATGTAGATTTTCTTTTCCTGTAAAGAGGGGAAGGGGAAAAAACATAAACCAAAGAGAAGATGAAGGGCTCGCGTACACCACCTGGAGAACTTCAATTCGATCTTGACCATCTGATGCCAGTGAAGATGAAGGGCTCGCGTACGGGTGGCTGCCGATGGAGAAGAATCGGGGATAAAATTGCCACATAAATGCGGATTTCTTTCGAGCCCGCCATTGTATCTCGATGGCCGGAGATGGTGGGGCAAACTTCCCGGAGTATGGCCGACGGCAGAGTGGGAATCGTGTTCGTGTTCAGAGATGAAATCGTGTCTCGGTGACGGATTTCTACTTCGAATCGGCAATGGAATTCAAAGAGAAAGAGAGATGGAAGGTGATGAATTGAGAGAGAGACGAACTGAGAGCGATGAATTGAGAGAGAGATCTGATTTTTTTTTTTTCCAATTTTTTGTGATTTTCAGATAAAATAAATCAATAATAATAGTATTAATATTTATATGAGGAGTTGAGAGGAAAGAGAAATATGTATTAGGGAGTGCAGAGGAAATTTAAAAGTGGTAGGGACTGAGAAGGAAGTTGAAATGTGCATTAGGGATTTATTAGGAAATATCCGTTGTATTTTTGACATATAAATATACATAAAAGTAACAAAAATAAATGTTTTGTATACAAAATTTGTACATTTAAGTGTTAATAAAATTGTATCTCACAATAAATATTTATTATACCATTATATTTACATAGTTTTTATTTTTATATACAAAAATATTAGAAAAAAATAAAAAATTTATAGAGGCCGGGTCAAAATTTATAGAGACCGGGTCAACCGAGTTGACCCAGCCGGGTCAATGGCCCGGGTCGACCGGGTCAAGGGTGGGTTGGCCGGGTTTTGACCGGGTTTGGCCGAGTCCATTGTTATCCGGTCCAAATAGCTCACCCGGACCGGTTTTGGCTCCTGATCGACCCGCCGGGCCAGTCCGGGTAAAAAAAAATATCTAAAACATTTCCCTTCCAACAATATAATCAAAAAAATGCTCAGCATAAAGGCACAGCAAGAGGGCACCAAAACATCACATGAACTCATTTCATTTTCTTCTTCAAAATCAAGCACCAAAATAGCACATAGTAACACGAAATAACGCTTAGCAACACAAGATTATTGAAGGCCAACAGAACAACTCATTAAGCATGCTAAATCATGTTCTTGGGTCAACTTAACCCACAGCAACACGGACATAAAAAGGAAAAGAACTCGGTTGGCCAAAATACCTCTCTTTGGGAAAGGTAAGGAACGAAAAGCTCGGATTTCGGATCTGAAAAGGGGCTCGGCTGAGGCTCTTGGCTCCCGAATCCCAGAATCGGGAATGTTCGGCTCGCTAAGGGCTCTTACCTCGGTCAACCCTCCGCCGCTGGACACGACCACTATCAGCAAGGTGCCGTCTTGCCGAGAATCTGGTCTCGGCCTGCGTGTTTGGCTCGCTTCGGTCGGGGTGTCGCTGCTCGTTCGATCTCTGGTCATCGAAGACTCGTCTCAGCCACACGAGGGTCGGGTCGGGTACATCGACGACCCGTCTCAGCCGTACGAGGGGACTCGCGGTGATGCTCGTCCGTCCGCTAGCCTGGTCGTCAGACGTCATCTCGCCAGGAGGAGATGTTGGGAGCTAGATTTCGACGGCTAAGAGAGAAAGGAGAGAAATGGAGTTGGGGTTTTCTGCGACCGATTACTATTATGAGTTGCTAGGGCTAAGATTTTGGGCCGGATAAATGCTTACTTGGGCCGAGTCTAAATGTTCTTAGTACGCTTAAGCAAAACAACAACTTAATCACTTAGGCAAATAATAAGATCAATAAATCAACAAGACTAATTAAGAAGACGAGGACATCTCCTTAATCTATATTTTCGGTTGGATAAAATTATTGAGAAAATTAAATAGACAAGGACATCTACTTAATTCTCATTTCGATTATTGAGAAAATTGTCGAGCAATACAAAAAGATAAAAGCAATGCCATGCAATTAATAGAATAAAATAAAATAAAATACGACGACTCTTATAAATCGAATGGGGCACTACATAAAGTATGCGACAGAAAGACGAAGTTAATTGAGCATGTGCGAATTCCTTATGCGATAAGCTATACGAAGATAATCGAGCAAGTGCGATCTCATTATTCGATAAATTTTGCAAGAGACAGACAAAGTTAATAGAACAAGTGCAAAGCAAATATGCTATAAACTATGTAGGTAATTTGACTGTAACTAATGCGGGTAACTTTCTTGAGTCGACTTCAAGACTTTTTCCTATCTTGGGCTCCCAAGATGGAAAAAAAAAAAAAAAAAACAGATAGAAAGAATATCTATACACATATATTGATGGAATAGCTTAAACGGAAATGCGTTATCTACCTTCCCATCTTAAATTGTGTAAGTGATATTTCTGTGGCAAAATTAGGAGTATTTGAGTTGTCTGGAACTGCTAGATAATCCTTACAGCCTTGATATTGTCCGAGCACCACCTCTCCATCTTTTATGGGCACAACTAATTGAAGAACCTTAATTCCAAACAAACCATGATCACAAATGGAAAAATTCTATCGAAAAACGATGTCAGGACACTACAAAATAGAAACAGATCAATAGAAGCTTTCTCACAGACTTCGACGTTGCTCAGACATTGGCAGACGCAAAACAACAACAACAACAATATAGCCTTTAGTCCCAAGCAAGTCGGGGTAGGCTAGAGATGAAACCCAAGAGAAAACACAAAAAGACTCGAACCAAAAGGAAGAGATCGAAAAAAAAAAAAAAAAAGAAAGAGAGAGAAAGGAGAAAAGTCACGGTTCTGGCACGTTGATAGCGAGCCTCCAAGCGCTCCTATCCACCGCTAAATCCTTGGAGATATTCCAATCCTTAAGGTCTCTCTTAACCGACTCTTCCCAAGTGAGTTTAGGCCGACCTCTACCTCTCTTAACATCCTCGACCAGCTGTAGAACTCCCCTATGCACCGGTGCATCAGGAGGCCTCCGTTGGCAGATGCAAAAAGGGAGTTAAAAATCACAGTTTCTAGTCGATGGGCCAACAGCTAAAACTTGAAAAGCATTCATTGTAAGTTCCAGAAATTTTGAATCTATGCATCACAGATGCCCTATGATTTAGCTTCAGAACTACCATCGTTTTAGCTGGGCAGCGCAAGCAAAATCCACACTAACTACAACATACATGTAATACTGTCATTGCTTCTACTCTCGTTGTCCCCTAATCCCAATATAGATGTTGAGTTGATGATAACACATGCTGCTATTTTCTCTTCAGTTTTTGTGATGCAATTATGTATTCCCGCCATACGCTCTAGCGATAGTTTCTCTATCTTATCAAGCTGAAAAGTTGGTAAGAAAGATTGCCGAGGAAAAATGCTAAGGTGCCCAAAGCTTGAGTAAAAAATTATTCCAGATATTCCCACACTATATATATATATATATATATATATATATATATACAAAGTCCAAAATGAAAATTACTAATCAAAATGAAGAATCCAGAAAATCAGAAGTTGGTTGGGAAAAACCACATGGGCTCTGGGAACATCGGTTTTAGGTTGGGAGGGTCACATGGATAATAGCACGGTGACACAGTCTTATCCTCATAACTGAAGATGCCAATGTCATGGTTACCTTGATTAGAATCATAACTATCCGGTAAAGTATCTGTAAAGTAGATGGAGTTGGGCTTCAGCTCTGGAAAGTCACGCGCACGCAACGCAACAGAGTGGTTGTAGTTACCTACGAAAAGAGCCCAACCACCCAAACACGAACCTTCCACATACTTGAGATCCCCATCCTCTGGATCATATCTATACACATCAAAATCAATAGTCGCAGTCGTGAGGTCAGAAGGTGATTCTTCTAAGTATGAGTCGAAATACAAACCATCCAAGTCAACGGATTCCATTATGTACTGAGTCACCACCAGGAGATCCTCTCCGGCAACCACCAGATGGTACTCATGCCAACATGTCAAGTCGTCTCTGGACCGTAACAACTTCTTCTTCTTCTTCTTCATCTTCTCTTCTTGGTCGAGGATATTACTAAACTCACCCATAATCCGTATCAATTCAGGGGATGCAGCCGTCAAGTCCCATGCCTCCAATTGGAAAGTGTTGGTGAGGGCAAAGAGTGTCTTTTTGCTTTTGGAGTAGACGCAATCTAAATAATTGTTGTCTTTGGAATTTGTGCCGAACCATTTCCAATTGTCACTGGATAAAGGGCAGCACACAGCCATGGATTCCCCAGAGTAGGTTAGGCCACGGCCACACATTTTTCAGTGTCGGGAGAGCAGGAGATGAAGGACTTACGGAGAATGGGTGCGCTGCCTAGATCAACAGAGGGGCCGTAGGAAGGTGGGAGCTTTATATGGCGGCGGGATATGAGGTTGTACAGTAACAGATTGTGGGTTTTGGGCTGCACAAGGGATACCCAGCCACCGCCGGAAGAACCCCGGAGACTCAGGTCGCCGTGTATTTATGGGTCCCGCAGGGTCACGACCCTGTTCTCGGCCAGGCTGTAGAATTTGTAAGTCAACGTGGTGGTGGCGGCCGTGCAGGCGGCGGCGGCTTCATATGCGGGTTGCAGCATCAGCCAAGGAGAAGAAGAAGATGGATTGGATTTTTCCGGCGACATCGGCGCCGCCGTGCTCATTCCTCTCCGACATAACCAATTACAGTCGAGACTCCATTTTCCAGAAATCAAATAACTAGAAAATCCGGTAAAACCTCGGCCGCGGCGCAGCAGGGAAGAATAAGCCATCAATTAGGTTTTCCAATTACGCCTTTCTATTTTGTAATTAGGTAGAGCAGAGCGGATGCGGAAATGTAACTCTTGACCTAACTATCTATCTATTCTATTTATTTGAAGAGCAAAAGTGAGGCCACAGTTGTATTGTGGGCTTCCTTCCCTCTAATAGCTTTCTAGGCTGGTTGCCAATGCGTACGAGGGTCGTCGGCTGAAGAATGCATATAACCGAGCTCGACGAGCGGCGCTAAGGTCCAGAACTAGCGAGCGACTGGCGCCGCTTGCACCCTTAGGGGGCAACTGAGGCTCGCAGCTTATAGGGGTTAGTGGCGCTAAGGCCTGGGCGAGAACAGTTTTAATTTCAGTTTTACTTTTGTTTTCAATTGATTAGGAATGCTTGTATGACTATATTAGAGCGAATTTCAGACTTTGTATGCTATCTTTTTATCCTTTACCAATAAATCAGAAAACGCTCGTTTTCGAGCACCAATCCGTGTCAAAAATCAAGGCCGTTAGTGCAGGTTTTGATATAATTTTCGATACTCGATACACAATTCGTAACATTGATCCCACTCGCTCTTTTTTGCATTTAAAAAGTTGAATATTTTTTTTTAAAGTATTTGTTCACTATTATACCACCACTCCCGGTATATAAGATGCACACCGCCAAGATGCAACGAACATGATTCATCTTACCTGTCTAAACAATCCGGCCGACCCGACGTTTTTGATTTTTTGTTTTTCTTTTTAAATTCTATTAAATTCCCACCTCCCCCCAAAATCTAATTTTTCTCACCATTTACAACTATTTCTCACTTTTTTCATCTCATTTCTAATTTCTTCAAGTGATAAATTTGAATTTTTGTGCTAGGTCCTCTATACAATCCGTCTAGTTCTATATAAACTAGTCGCGAGCCCGTGCATCGCACGGGATGATATATTTTTCAGAAATAATTTTAATATTCAACATTAAATTTTATGGACTTGGTATATATATAATAAATGAAAACGGGTCGGACAAATTAAAAAATTCATAAATTATTTAACATTTTCTTTTACACAACGTTTTTGATTTGATTTGGTGGCAAGTCATCGTCACCACAGACTAATACTTTCAAACCACTTCGGTTTGTGTCATGGGATACAACAACGTATAACTGCACATGACTGAAAACCATCTTATTTAGAAATAAACCGACATGCAATAACGATTGTCCCTAACTCTTGCTTATAGTCATGACGTACAAAACCATAATGAGAAATTGTTGCATTTGTAACTTGAAAGAAATTCTAACATCTGAAGGAGTTATAACCATTATAGGAATCAACATTTCTCGCATTCGTGATCCCTAGTGAGTATTTTACACTCAAGAAAATGAGTGGAGAGTTTTGTCACAACCAACAGTGTCCCATTACATAAACCCCATAGAATGATCCAAGTGTTAGTGTTATATATTGAAAGCTTGACTTTGCATGTTATTACACATTTGCCCTTTATGAATGAGAATCGTGTTAGATTAAACAAGTTCCACGTTCTGTTGTTCAGCACTTAGATAGGGTGGGTCGTCATCGAGCGAACCGAAGATCACTCTATCAGTCACTTGCGAACAAGAATAGTTGCTCACAACCTAGATGGACATGAACGCCCCATCCGAACGGTTGTAATGTCAACTGTACAGTTAGTCTTGACTGATTAGTTGCACTAGTACATTTATGTATTGAACAGGATCCCAGAGAAGAGAAGTTCATTTTATACTGATCGTCGTAAATGAACTAGGCCTCGGTTAATTACTGCGTTCTCTTAACCCATAAGATATTAAACAGGCAGATATATATAATATATATTACTTTGATTCACATGGGTGAGGTTCAGTTCGCTGGATTAATATTCCTACTGTTTTGGGTAATATTATTATATATAGGGTGTGTTGTTAGGATATTTACGGTCACCATGTGCGTTAGTTTGATGATGTCCCCGGAGTGAGTTCATGAAATATTGTTATGCTAAACCCTGCAGGTGGATTAAGTTCTGGCATAATAAGAATGTGATGAACGAGCGCTAGCTTCGGTGAAATAATAATAAATTAATTAATTCTTGATTGTCAGTAATCGAATTAATTAATGGGCATTATATCTTAAACGTGTGGAGGTAAATCGAGTTATTATTATTCGAGTCTCAAATGTAATTTGAGCTAGGAAAAAGGGAGTGCAATAATATAATGTTGGTGGCCCGTTAATATTATTTAATTAATTAGAGGAGTGGGCTTGGCCCACAGTTAGTCTAATTAATTAAGGAGCCCTATTCCTAATCTCCTAAGGGTCCCTACTGTAGCTCTATATATACATCATTAAGCTCATGAGAAGAAAAGACATCTGTCATTATTCATAATACACGCCCCACGCCTCTCTCTCTAGATCTCATTCGAGCTTTATCTTCTTCTTGTTGCTCCATTGATACAAGTTGAAGAAGGGTGTATTGAGTAATACAGTTGAAGATTTGTAGGTAAACCGAGACGAAATATATTTTATCCTACAGAACTAACCGTAGGTCCGATTGAGGCGCACAGCATACCCAGACGACCGTCTCGATGAGAGCTATCCATCGCCGCCAAGATCGCCGAATTCAGAAGCTACACGCGTCCTAACGCGCCGTCGCAAGCTGTCTGGCTGCAAGTTTGGTTTTGATCCGTTTGCACCCGTTTGATCCATTTTTTATCTGATCTTGTTCGTGCAACCCAAGACGTGATTTGCAGTCAATCATTTGCGGTCTAACCATTCGTGGTCAACCAGATCGCCATAAATTTTAAGTCGTAAGTTCTCTACGTCAACCTTTTAGATCCGCTGCGCATAGGTTTACGTTTGCTATTGAATTCGTGACTTGTACATAACGAAATCCTCACAGGTCCCAACACTAAGTAAGGTTTAGATGATGTGGTGTATTAGAAATGTAAAAAAGTAGAGTTTATAAACCTTTAAAGTTGCACTTAATATTCTCTCCAATCCCAATGGTCCCACTGTTAGTGTTATATACTGAAAGCTTTGCTTTGCATGTTATTACACATTTGCCCTTTATGAATTAGAATCATGTTAGATTAAACAAGTTCTACGTTCTGTTGTTCTGCATTTAGATAGGGTCGGTCGTCATCGGGCGAACCGAAGATCACTTTATCAGTCACTTGCGAACAAGAATAGTTGTTCACAACCTAGATGGACATGAACACCCCATCCGAACGGTTGTAGTGCCAACTGTACAGTTTGTCTTGACTGATTAGTTACACTAGTAAATTTATGTATTGAACAAGATCCCAGAGAAGAGAAGTTCATTTTATACTGATCGTCGTAAATGAACTAGGCCTCGGTTTACTGCGTTCTCTTATTCCGTAAGATATTAAACAGACAGATATATATAATATATATTACTTTGATTCACATGGGTGAGGTTCAATTCTCTGGATTAATATTCATACTGTTTTGGGTAATATTATTATATACATGATGTGCTGTTAGGATATTTACGGTCACCATGTGCGTTAATTTGATGATGTCCCCGGAGTGAGTTCATGAAGGATTGTTATGCTAAACCCTACAGGTTGATTAAGTTCCGGCATAATAAGAATGTGATGAACGAGCGCTAGTTTTGGTGAAATAATAATAAATTAATTAATTCTTGATTGTCAGTAATCGAATTGATTAATGGACATTATATCTTAAACGCGGGGAGGTAAATCGAGTAATTATTATTGGAGTTTCAAATGTAATTTGGGCTAGGAAAAGGGAGTGCAATAATATAATGTTGGTGGCCCATTAATATTATTTAATTAATTAGAGGAGTGGGCTTGGCCCACAGTTAGTCTAATTAATTAAGGAGCCCTTTTCCTAATCTCCTAAGGGTCCCTACTGTAGCTCTATATATACATCATTAAGCTCATGAGAAGAGAACAGAATTCCTATTTTAACGTGAGACGTCCCACGCCTCTCTCTCTCTCTCTTGATCTCATTCGAGCTTTACCTTCTTCTTGTTGCTTTACTGGTACAAGTTGAAGAAGGGTGTATTGAGTAATACAGTAGAAGATTTGTAGGTAAACCGAGACGAAATATATTTTGTCCTACAGAACTAACTGGAGGTCCGATTGAGACGCACAGCATACCCAGACGACCATCTTGACGAGAGCTTTCCATCGCCGCAGATATTGCCTCCGTCCAACGCCGCACGTGCCCTCACGCACCGCTGGAAGCTCCCAGGCTGCAAAGTTCGTCTTCATCTGTTTGCACCCGTTGTTCGCTAATTATTTTTGCTATCCGCAAGTGTACGGAGTAGCTATAGGTAGTGGCGAGCAAGGTCGTATTCCACAGAGATTGTAGTTAAATTAATTAAGTACTAAAATAATGACGATTCAATATTATCTAGACTAGTGAATTGAATGATGATTATAAACTAAGAACTAAACTAGAACTAATCTAACTAAAAATAAAAATAAAAATAAACAAAGAAACGAAAGGTAGATTCGAGGCTAAGCGTTCCTCGGA